CATCATTTTCAATAAACAATCAAATAATACCGAATATTGCATTAATACGATTAATATATATTTTTTCTCCCCTTCTTTCTCGTTTTTCTTCGCAAAAAAAAGAAGTAATTATTTTGAACATTACAATATAGAGTAATAAGATATTCAAACTTAGAAACCTGTGTTTCGGCATGCACAATGTCATTTTGGGGCTTTGCATCAAATTGAGGCCGAGACAAAGGATGGATCTATGTTGGCTGTTGAGGTGTGTTGCTGTGGTGCTTAAGTCTGGATTAATGCGATATAACTAATTTCGGTGCGGAATTCGAGAGAAAACTGTTGATTGGTTTAAATCATATTTGACTAAGCGCACACAATGGTGCTCTGTTAATGGCTGTCTCTCTGACATCACCACTCTCTGAAATGTGGCGTGCGACAGGGAACAATCCTTGGTCCTCTTTTATTTCTAATTTATATTAACGATTTGCCTAACTGTCTATCATTTAGCATACCTAGAATGTATGCTGATGACACCCACATTAATTACGCTGGTTCTGATTTGCATCCGATTGAGTCTAGTCTATCTGACGACCTTGAAAAACTAAGCGAATGGCTTTTGTCTAATACACTCGAACTCTCCGATAATAATGTTCCGATTGAACAAGTTTTCTCTGCGAAATCACTCGGAGTAAATGTCAAAGAAAATCTGACGTGGCATTCCCACATCAACTGTGTAAAAAGATCGCTTCTGCAATTGGAGCCATAAATTTAGTTAAGGTAATTCCCTTGAANAGTCTAGTCTATCTGACGACCTTGAAAAACTAAGCAAATGGCTTGTGTCTAACAGACTTACCTTGAACGCTACAAAAACGGAATTTATATTGATCGGCTGCAGGCAAAGATTAAGAACTCTATCTGATACCCTCGAACTCTCCAATAATAATGTTCCGATTGAACAAGTTTCCTCTGCGAAATCGTTTGGAGTAAATGTCAATGAAAATCTGACGTGGCATTCCCACATCAACTGTGTAAAAAGATCGCTTCTGCAATTGGAGCCATAAATTTAGTTAAGGTAATTACCTTGAAATTGTTCTACTATCAAACCTTTTTTGCAACTTGGCATAATTAACATTCATGATATGAACATTAAAAACAATGCAATAAAAAAAATGGGGTCACCGTGCTTGTTAACGCGTCGGCAGGCTCTTAAAATGGGGCGTTTTCACTGGTTGCGCGTTAAAATTCGAATCACCTTCATAGAGAATTGAATTAGGTAGCTGCCGGGATCGCCCCATGGCGAGTTCGCCCCCACCGAGTTCGCCCTACATCAACTCAACTTGATCGAGTTCGCCCCCAACCAGATCGAGTCGCATATAGAGATTATTCCTCGTTTTGTTACCCTCTGCCTTATTAGATTACTGGTGGCGAGGAAACTTCGCTTGGTGGCGAGGTGACTTCGCTTGGTGCGAGTTGACTTCGCTCGGTGGCGACCGGAAGTTCGTTGGTGGCGAGACTCCCTGATGGCGAGATGACATAAACACACATAGACTGAAATGATTCTTCGGAAACTTTAAATAACTCGATGACAACTATGTAAACACGAACACAAAATTTTGGGGCGACCTCGAAATAGAAATTTTATAGTGGGGCGAACTCGCCATGGGGCGAAACTGGTATCGTTCCAGAATTAAGTATTGGTTGCTTGAAAGACACAAAATTTTATGTTGAAAGTAAAGCCTCTTTTATTCACATAAGCAGTATTGCTTTATTTAAGCCGTTTTTGATTGCCTGGTTGTAGGAATGTTGCACTTTTTCGGACGGTTCCGTGGTTAGTTTGAAGTCTTCGCCTTGGCCAAAATACACCCAGTGCGGAACTATTTTCCAAAAAAAATCATGTTCTACTATCATATCAAACTTTTTTTCTTCCTTAAGTATTTTCTTTATTAGACTGTTCTTAGCAAATACCCGGAAAAAAAAATCGGGGTCACCGTGCTCGTTTAAGAGAAAAGGAGCATTTATCTCGCTATCGAGCTTAGTTTGAGGGAAATCTCTTACGTTTTGCACGCGCACGGGCTCATGACTTAGGGATGCGCAATGCAATACTAAGGAATCACCTTAAGTCATTTGTGCCTCAATCTACCTTACTCTGCATATGCAACATCACTACCTCAACCTCACTTTGATTACTGCAGCCTATTCTGGGGTAATTGTGGCAAAACATTCTCTAACAGGCTACAATAACTACAAAACCATGCTGCACGAGTAATAACTTCATCGGGCTATGACGCTGATGTCGATTCCTTGTTTCANAAAGTCTCCATTGATGTTCCGACTGAACAAGTTTCCTCTATGAAATCACTTGGAGTATTTATCAATGAAAATTTAACGTGGCATTCCGACATTGACAAACTGTGTAAAAAGATTAGAACTACAACTGGAGCCATAAAGCGAGTAAAGCCATATGTGCCTCAATCTACCCTACTCTGCACATACAACTCACTAGTTCAACTTCACTTTGATTACTGCACCCTAGTCTGGGGTAATTGTGGCAAAACATTATCTAATAAGGTACAAAACTACAAAACTGAGCTGCACGAGTAATAACTTCATCGGGCTATGACGCTGATGTCGATTCCTTGTTTCACAAACTCAGCTGGAAAGACTTGCAATTTCAACACCAAATTCAGAAAGCTCTAATTAATGGTTTTCAAGTCTTTAAACGGTCTGGTTCCCGAATATCTCACTCACTTGTAACACAAAATGAATCAAATCATGATCTGAGGGACTCGGTTAACAAACTTGTTGTTCCCTTTCTGAAAAATAACCACAAGAAAAATAGTTTTAGTTACAGCAGCGCAACCCTTTGCAACAGCTTACCCTGTAACATTAGAGTGTTTCGTTCATTAAATCAATTTAAACGCTTTCTCTATCGTAATTTTTAAGCACACGGCATTCACCGAGTTTACCAGAGGACCAGGCAGGGGTGACACATGCCATCTCTCCTTTTTGGATGAAACTTTGCCAGATTG